TTTGTAGGAAAATTCATAGAGTTTCCCACCATATAAAATATTTCTTTGAATGAATAATTCATCCCCCAAAAATGTATTAAAATGTTCCTGCAGCCGACTTCAGGCCTTAAAGCCTTAAGCGGCAGCGTGTCCTGTGTGTACCATACGACCACGTGACGTATACGCAACGTTAGCCAGAAAACAGTGGGAAAATGGATAAACGGTAGACGGTAGCCAGTAGCCAGTTGCCGGTCTAATGAATGCCCAACTACGAGACACAGCTGGGACACAGCTCTGGGGTAAAGCCCCGTCCTCGGTACAGAGGCGAAGGCTGAATGGACGGATGGATGGATGGATGAATGAGGCCCCACGTACCGCCTGCCGGGCCGCGTCTGGCGGCTCCACGAACCGAACGAACTTATTAATATGCAGAGCAGCCAGCAGGTGTCTTTGCTACCGTTTTATGCCACAATTTGCGCCACGTGCTGCCACGGCCACTGCTACGGCCACGACTGGTGTTGGCTCCCTCTCTCTCTCTCTCTCGCTCTGCTGTTGCTGTTGCTGACAAGGCTTTAATAATGCTGCCACTTGGCTGCGTTTGCCTGCCTGCCACACTGCCCCACACAGCCCCATGCTGCCCCATTTCTTTCAGCTCTCAGCTGCAGCACAAAATTAACAATTCGTAGCTCATTTTTCTGTTGGTTTGAGGCATAAAGCGGGAGTGGGCGTCATGGGGCAGAGACCACTTGCAGCGACAATTAGTTGAGTTATTGGCAGGCAAGTACCACGACCACCCCACCCCCTCCTCTTTTCGGGAGGGGGAAGCAGGCGGCAGACCAAGCAATTTTGTAGCCACCCAACGACAAACAGCAATCTACCATGTGGCCTGCAACAACAGTCCATGGGGAAATGTTGGTGCTTAATCCGGAGTTTTCTTTTCTTTCTCTGCCTTTGAGGGCTTGCCTCCGAAACGAAAGATTCTTTGGTTCCTAGAGGAGTATTTCCTGCCGTTCTTAGAGCCTTATGCTAAGCAGATCCTTTAGCTCTAAGGATATTCTATTCTGCAATCTACAAAGCTTCATCCGTAGATTCCAATCAAAACCTAAAACTCACTTGAAATGCTTGGCAAATCTTTGGGAAAACATTCCAAAAATCTTTTCCAAGTGCAGTTTCAAAGTATAACTCTCTACCATCCATTTCCCTTGGCTATTTATAAGTATATATCCCTTGACTCTACTTAATCTGCCTGTCCCCCCACTCACATGAACTGCTGGCTGGCTGGCTGGCTGGCTGGCTGATCGGCTTGTTAGCTGTGTCCCTGTCCCTGTCCCTGGCTCTGGCTCTGGGTGTTCTGTTCCTCCCCACACAAGTGAGCTTTTGGCAAAGGATTCACAAGGCAGCAGCCGCTTGTCAACGCATAGTTGGGGCCACAAAACAGGACAATGGCAAGGCAGGCAACCACAGGAGAAACATCCACAAGGAAGGGACTGGCAGGCAGGCAGGCAGGCAGTTCCCTGGCATACGGAATACCTGGCCACAGGCCAAACGACTAACTGGACAGGAGGAGGGACAGAGACACTGCATGGAGTGGACTTGCTACATGTCATAGAAGCCCGAGTGCTGCATCCACAGGAGGCAGGAGTAAATGATGGTAGAAATAGGGATAATATCAGTGGAACAGCAGCAGCAGCACAAAAGAGGAGTCGTCGAAGGAGGAGTCGAGGGTAGAGCAGGGCACTGGCAACAATCTCTGCAATCCACAAAATTGACTACCGAACAACATGTCAAGTGATTGAAGCCGAAGCCACTCCCCTCCCTACCCCACCCATCCACCTCCTCATCTGCATAAAGAAGGGGAAAGAGAGAGAGTCCCAATCCGTTTTTGGGTCCAAGTTTGTGCCTGTCATTTGGCCTCAATGGCCAGGGCAGGGCAGGGCAGGGCTTCTAGGGCCAATTGAAGCAATTACTGGATTAAGCCATCATCTCGTCAGTTGTCATTGGAACTAGAAATAGAAATAGAACTGGTGCTCCTACGCCCAAGTAGATCTTCTCCCATCAGTTCTGAATGGATCCAGAGCTACTCGCGTCAGTACCCTGCGAAGACATGGACCTCCAAGGGTATGATTTTTGATTCTTTGAGAACAGCTATACCAAATATATCCAGCTCTTTTCATAGCACTGCCTCTTGCTGCCTTAAAAAAATGACAAAACCCAAAAGCTTCAGCTAAATAAATTCCAAAACAAAAACTTTTACTCAGATTTGACAACATTTTCATTAGTTTTTCTTTCTGCGATTCTACGTTTGTTTGTGCAACACACTTTCATGAGCAACTATGTTGCAACAGAGAGAGAGAGAGAGAGCTGCCTGTCCAGCAGGCAACATTTATTCCCCCATCGCTCCATCCGTCCTATTTTCTGCTTGGCAGTCCTCACGGCTCTGCCTGACATATCTTTTCTCTCTCTCTCTTTTTAAAGAAGAACCTCCCTCTCTCATTCCCCCTTTCTTTTGAAGTAGAGGCAGATATTCTGATTGAAACTGTAACTGTAACTAGCAACGGTGTCACACTACGGCAGCGGTGTCCAAGAGGCAGCCATAAACCTCTTCACTGCATAAATTCAACGGCAAAGGCGAAGGGAAAATGTCAGCGGCTACAGGAAAATGCAAAATACAAATTCAGAAAAAATAACAAAAAACAAACAAAGAGAGAATAAATACGGGAACGAAATTCACGCCAAATGAATTCTGCCACGAGACTGTCCTGTGATGCATTTAGCTGTCATTTTGTCTTAGCGACGACGACGACTGCTCCGCTTGCTTGCTCGAAGGATGTCTGATTCGTTTTGCTGTGTCTCCTCCTGCTCTTCCTGTGAAAAGGATACTGAAATGCGGAAACGCGGAAAACCCCCATGGAAAACACCGAAAACCGAAACGAAGCCACGGGAAAACGCAATGCGCGTAAAATAAACAAATTTCCGTAGACGACGACGACGACGACACTCCACTATGCAAAGAGTAATTGGAGCAGGCAGAAGGCGGAAGGCAGCCAAAGAAGGGAAAGGGGAAAGGACTGTGGAGGAGCAATAGATACTGGTTTCTGGTGGGAGGATGGGTGGCAAGCAGGCTGGGGAGTGGAGGCAAGTGGAAAGCCCAGGTAAAACCCAAAGTCAAAACCAAAAACTGAAACTGAATGAAAATAAAAGAAACAACTTACGAGAGGATGGCAAAAAGGTTCGTAACGTGTGAGGAGGTTCCCTGGAATATTTCTTGGGATTTTAATTTTTGTATTTTAATTTTAATTTAATAGATAAAAGAAGTGAGTAAAGGATTAGGATTTCTACATATGTTCTATTTGGAAGTTCATAGTTCCTCAACATTGCAAAAGATCTTTTGCCATCTTCACGCAGTTCTGTTAAGAGAAATTCTTTTAAGATATACTCCTTTAATTACAGGGTACACTCGACAGCGAGCGGCAGCAGCAGCAGAAGCAGCCGTAACTCAATGCTAACGAAGGAAGCAGCAAGTCCTAGCAGGGATTCTACGGAGGGGATTCTCGCAGGATTCGCATAACGCAAGAAACAGGCAGAATGGTAGAAGAGTGGCAAACAGCGAGGAGTGGGAGTGGGGGCGAACAGGGCGAGCGAGAGAAATGTTTCAGCAAATGCAATATTGTAATGCCGTAATGCCGTATAAAATGTATGCATATGTTTTACACAGGATACAGGATGCTGCAAACGAGACGACACAACCAAAGGAGCCACAGCAGGGGGCAGCAGGGGGAAGGAGTGGGAGGAGCGGCAGGGGCACACGCGAAATACGTGGCACGGCACGGACGTAAGGCAGGAAGTCGACGCTTTGCTGCTGCCTTCGAATGCGGAAAATTAAAGAAAACAACAGCGCGAAAATCGCATTCCTCCAAACAAGGAAAGCCGGGAGCGGGAAGCGGGAAGCACAGAAAACGAGTGAAACGAGAGAGCGAGAAATGTGAATGAAAATTGAATGAGAAACACAATTCCCCATTTTGTCTCTGGCTGTGAAATAGATCCGGTTACTCTTTCTCTCTCCTCCTCCTCCTCCACCTCCTCCTGCTCTCTATATTCCCCGTCGGTCCTCTGGAATGAACGCTCAGACGTAGCACTCTTTGCCCGTATCCTGACACTCGCCTGGTGGCTGGGGCACTGGCTCTAGCTGCAAGGAAATTGAATAATTTACACAGAATTTAATCCGTTTCCGTTTCCTGCTGGAGATTGGAGAGTATCAAATGAGAATGGTGAGATAACAAGGAGATTCCTGTTTATGCTAAAATTCTTACTAAAATAGTAGCATATCACGGATAATTCCCAAAAAACATTTGGCTGTAAATATTATCAAATCAGGCAAAAAAGCGACCGAGAGGCGATGCCGGATGACGCGCTTTAAGAGTAGTACTGCAGAGTACTGTGGAGTTTTTCTCTTTTCCTTTTTGGGCATTAATTGAAATATAGTTGTGCCGATTAGCATAGTTTTACAGTTTTAGTTTCTCTTCCACCTACAGCTGCCCAAAAGGAGAAAGAAAAGAGCAAATAACAAACAGAAAGACAAAAGCAAAGCAAAGGAGCAAACTAATGAGACCCTTGGGGATGCACTGGCTGGCGCCCAGTGATTGAGTTTGCTTCAGGGCTCCTCCTTCAGGCTTTAATTAGGATTGGACTTGATTGGATTTTGCACTTTTCTCCACTGTAGTTATCTCACCTCTGCCTCTCCTGCTCTCTCCTCGACTCACTCCCTTTTTTCTCCCGCAATTTGTTTGGCAGTTGTTTGATAACAAGGCTAACAAGTTGCTCCCTCTTCATTCGGGGGAAATAATTACTACTTAAGAGCGGAAGAGCGGAAGAGCGTTCTCCTGCAGGCAGGGAAAACTAATTTCGAATCAGAGGATGGCTTTGTTTTCTTTGAAAATAACTAGAGTGGAGAATCAGTCAATCATTTGCAATGCTGTCGAAATTCAGGGAAACTCAGACAGACCTGTCACTCCCGGGTAAGCATGGAACTCTGTCGATATTTGCACACGAAATGGCGTACCCTCGCCCTGCTGCTACTTATCCTGTACCTGTACAACCGCGACACTTGCAACTGGAGCGAGTTTCCCGGTCCCGAGGCGCCAGACGCCCCCTCAGAGTCGAGCGTTTACTTCGTCAACACCTCGCGCTGTCGCATGTCGGCCATGGATGCCGTCTCGCCCAAGGCCCTCTCCTTTGTGCAACGTTTGGGGCCCTTCGAGTGCCCCAGGGTGCAGCTGCTGCGTGCCGCCACCATCAAAGGGCACAACTACCTGATCAGGGACCTCCTGGAGCAGGATCTGTGGCAGTGCTGCGCCGTGCGACGACTCCGGGATATCTTCTGTGCCTATCAGCAGGTGCAGTACTGCACGGATTTTCGCACCCACGTCCTGGGCAGACACGCCTTCGCTTTGGATCCTAGATCGGAGTACACGCGGGTCCCGGATGGCCTCCAGATGTTGCGGGTCTACTGCTGGGTGGACTTTGGGCGTGTCATCTTCCACGATGTCCTGCTGTTTGTGCCTCCCCCTCCCACCATCATTGCAGAGAGAAAGCCCAAGGATCTTCCCTCGGAACGCCTTTCGGTACTGGTCCTGGGCATCGACTCCCTGTCGCACCTGCACTACCGCAGATCCTTTCCCCATGTGGCAGCGTACATCCGCCATCTGCCGCACACCGAATTGTGGGGCTACAACCGCGTGGGCGACAATTCCTACCCCAATATCGTGCCCCTCCTCTCGGGGCTCTCGGCCCAGGAGCTGGAGAGGCGCTGCCTAAGGGGCAGGAGGAACTACAACGGGTGCCGCTTCCTGTGGAACGAATTCCACGACGCGGGCTACATGACGGCCTTCGGGGAGGACACCGCCAAGGGGGGCACCTTCACGTACAGGAAGCGGGGCTTCGAGCAGCAGCCCACGGACTTCTATCTGCGGCCCCTGCTGCAGGAGATGCGTCTGCACACGACCTATGCGGCGCGCAGCGACTTTGATGTAAAGTGCACGGCGGGGAGGCGCTACGAGGAGGTGCTCTTCGACTTTGTGCAACGCCTGATGCCGCACATGCAGCAGCGCGACTTCTTCGCTTTCGTGTGGCAGACGCAGGGCGTCCACGACTACTTCAATTACGCAAGGATCGCGGATCAGGACTATGTGCAGCTGCTGCAGCAGCTCCACGAGAGCCGCATCCTGGACAAAACTCTCGTCCTGCTGCTCTCGGATCACGGCCTGCGCTTCGACCCCTTCGCCGCGACGTTCCAGGGCATGCAGGAGGCCTCCCAGCCGCTGGGCATTGCCCTGTATCCACCATGGCTGCGCCGGCACTTCCCCCTGGCATTGAGGAACCTCCAGCGGAATGCCCACCGCCTCGTCACGACCTTCGACCTGCACGAGACTCTCAAGGATGTGATGGATCTTAGGGGACGCCTCAGCGACGCCAGCATTTGGAGTCGATCGCACCGCTTGGGCAACCCCCGAGGCGTGTCGCTCTTCCTGCCCATCCCCGAGCAGCGCGACTGCCGTTCGGCTCACATCCCGGATCACTACTGCCTCTGCCACACCCTCAAGCAGATACCCACGGACGCGCCCACCGTGCAACGGATCGCGGGGTTCATCGTCTCGCACATCAATCGGCTGCTGCTTTCGCATCCCCAGTGTCGGCCATTGTCGCTGGAAGAGATCGAAAGGGCCTACATGAGGAGGGATCATGGTGCGGAAGGGGGGTCCAAGGATCAGGCGACCATCACGGTCCTTGTGGTAACGGAACCCGGCAACGGGCACTTTGCGGGCACTGCTCTGGCCTCCAATGTGACTTCGCTGCACGGACGCATCACCCGTTCGGATGCCTATGGGGCACAGGCCTATTGCATTCGCGATGCTCGCCTTGAAATGTACTGCTATTGTGGATGAGAAGCAAAGGATTAAACGAAAGAGAGTCGAACGGTGTTGGCGTGTCTCATTGCCAGAGAGGAAGGGGGTAACAAGTGGGAAAGAACCACAGTGCAAAGAAGAGATCGAACACGCCATCTGCATACGTGTGCGCACACATAAATAACTGCATTCCAACAGCAGAGAGCGAGAGAGAGAGTGCGAGGTCAGCTTTTACGGAGCAACAGTTCTAAGCAGCGACCCAAAGCCGAAGCTCTTAGCTGACTCTCTTTCTGTGCTTTGCAGTGAACTGCTTGAGCTAGGACTTTGGATGCGAAGAGATCTCTCCCTCTATCTGTCTCTGGCTCTCTTAAATGCATTTACCTGTGCATGCTGAAGCACTTAAACAGAGTACAGCACAGTTGTTTTTGCCGCCACACAGCAGCAGAAGCAGACTGTCAACAGATGGCGCCCCAGAGTCTCGTGGTCTGTCCGCAGAGGAAACAGACAGAGCAGGGGGAAACAAGGAGACACACAGTGAGAGGGTGGGAGAGAGAGAGGTAGCCTCTCTGTACTGTAATTAATAATAATTTGCATTTGCACTGTTTTGCAGTTCACGGGGTGCAGAGTTTTAATTAAATTATGTGGCATCGCTGTCAGCGTGCGCGTAGGGGCGTGTGTGTGTGGTTGCGAGGACGTGGCAGCAGCTACAAGATAAACCTTGCTCCGGAGAGTGGAGGGGCCAGTGGGTGCATGCAACATGCATAAATTATTAGCGCTATCTGTTGTCATTGAAGAGAGGAGTGCCAAGCGTTAGTTCTAGTTTCCAATCTCTAAATCTGTGTATCTGTGTATATGTTTGCTTGTTGCAACAACATTAACAGCTGCCACAACTCTGTTTACCATTGGGGGGGGCAGGGTCGAGGGGGCACTCTGGCTCTTAGCAAAGCATCGCAAAAGTTTTTGGCAAATCACTTGATTATTTCCAAAGAAGAGATTTGTTAGTGTTTGGCAATGGGATGCAAAGTTGTGCTGTTCCATTTATCCATCCTCTCATTTAATCAATATGTAATCGATGTCACTGCGACACAAATTGAGGAATAATCAACAGATTTGCTAATGAAAAGTCAGCCTCCGTTGGGAGGTTGTCACAGTTAGCAGATTGAACGGCACGTGGCAACATTCTCTTTTGGATTCTTCCCCGATTATTCGGTAGTTAAAGCTCTTAAATGTATTTTTTGATTCACTTTTCGTCGAGTGTCGCATACTTAATATCACGCATGCGACCCGTTGACGTTGACATTGACTGCTGCTCCTACACTAAGTCCGAAAACTCCATTTGCAGAGAATAGATGACAACCCCCTCCATAGAGGGAAGGGTTAGAGCGTCAGAGGACTCTCGTGGCAAATGCCATTAAGAGCTTTTGACCAGAACGTGCCGTAAATCAAGTCACTTTAATTCAATAACAAGTTCCCCAGCAGAGTGGCGGCCCCAGAGAGGGTCCTCCCTATCTCTCCCTATAGCTCCCCCCTTAACCCTCTATTCCGCCTCTCTATACCCCCCCTCTGTCGCCTAAATGTGCAGATGTTGCCATTTCGGTTTGGGGTTTCGGGCTTTCGGGGTTCGAGAGGGCCCTGCCCTGGACATTGATTTCGTTTATCTGCGATGCCAAATTATTCATTTGGACCAACAGACAGCCACACAGGGATCCACAGCAAAGCACTCCTAGCACTCTCTGTCCCCCCCTCTCTCACTCTCTCTCTCTCGTCCCCACTCTGCTGTTGGCCAAGTAATTTGGCACAATTTGATTTCGAGTTTGGCCAAAAACAGTCGAAACAGTCGTCGTCGAACAGTCAACTTCTGGTGATGGGGGGGAGGCCTCTGCCTTTTGCCATTTTGCGAGTAGAATTTTGTCTTCGATGTAATTCAAATGTTTTTCTTTTCAGGTTGTTTTTGGATACCCAAGGCTATAGCCCTGCGATAGGGTATGCATGTGTTTGTCGATTCCGAAAAATGCTAAATTACTCCACAGCCTTTGCTCCGATTTAGAGGGTATTCCTTCCTTCGTTTCGGCACTTCTCTTCATGTTTTATGGCTGTATGGATTGTTATTGCTATTGCTATTATTTCCCATTTACAAGAGTAATTTCCATTCGAAATAAAAACCTATTCAGCCTTGAAACAAGTTTACACAATGCTAAATAAATTAGAGGACAACAAAAGCAAAAGCAAAAGCATCAGAAGAGCAGGGAAAACTTTCGGGGAAAACTCTCGTTCAAGTGTCGAAGCAATTGTTTGGGATTTATGTTTTGCATAAAGAAACCTCTCCCCATTCCCCTTATCCGTCTGCAAATTCAATGCAAATCTCTCTCTATCTCTCTCTCTGCAAATTAATAGCAATTATGGATCATTGAGGGAAGGAAAAGGCCAGGGACAGCGAGAGACGTGTGGGGAGGTGGAGTTTGCTTTTTATTTGAACATTATTTGTCGTGCATAATTATTGTTGTTATTTATTGCCGTCGTCGTCGTCGTCCGAGAAAGAATCTCACTCAGTATTTCTTACTTACTTCCCCATTGAGATTTATTGCTGGATGAATGTTTTGTCATCGTATCGCATCGCTGAATGAATAAACAATTGAATAAATCAAAAGTTTCGAACAACATTCGCAATAATTGAAGAGTTTTGTGTGTGTGAGGAGTAGTAGTAGGAGGGAGAGGGGATATTGATTACTTTCAGAGTTGAGTGAAAGTGTGCCTTAAGAAATATTTAAATTTAAGTTTAGAAAGGAAATTTCTATGCTACGGTTTTTTGTTTAAATTTATATTTATCGATGTACCAATAATTTATCAATTCTGGTTCGATATAGTTTAGTCTCTTTCTATCATTCTTCAACATTCATCCCAACTCCCATCTGAAACCGCCGCACTTGACTTATGAGCCACAGATGATCCTACACACACACACACACACACACACATGTGTGGATTATGATTTAAGAAACCGCAGAATAGCAGCAGCAGCAGCAGCAGCCACAGGACTGCAACAGATCTCCCCCCATGCCACCGTTGCCCGCCAAATCAGATCCCAAGCAGCGGATGGATGCTGCCACAATGGTTTCTGGCTAATCGCACTGTCATTGCGTTAACCGCATTTCGTTTATTAGCCGCATTGCATTAAATGGCCAATAAGAGACAGATGGGCGGAGAGGGGTAGGGGGAAAAAGGGAAGTGTTGGCATGGCAGCAATAAGAATGATGCCACCAAAGGGAGGGGCACTCCCATGCATTTCCATGGCATTTTCTCCCCCTTTCCGCATATTTCATTATCAATTTGCATTGAAATCAATTGAGGGGCTCGGAGGGGGTAATTCCACAGTACGAGCGACGGAGGTGGAATGCAGGAGAGTGCGGGAATGTGGCCAATAGCTGAAACCAATCGTATTTTGGAGGGATTTTGGCATAGTTTGCGGGCATCATTCGAATATCATTCGAAACATTGGACCAGACCAACACGCACGAGTGGGGAACAATGTTTGCAAATACTATTCCCTCCCCCTCCTCCCCTGCTGCAACAGACATTTGGAAAGAGAGAGAGAGAGTGAGAGAGAGAGAGAGAGAGAGAGATGATAACTTTTATATCTTTCTGTTGATGCCAAAGTGTTGGCAATTTGGTCTGTTGTTCCTGTCGTTGAGTGATTGGTTTTGTGGATGCTGGGGGGAAAGGGGGAATATAAACTAGAGAAGATATCTCTTGGCAGTACCCTGTATTCATAGGGTATGCTACGGGGTACAATCTAGTCGATTTCTCTCGCTTAGCAGGGGATTCTTATCAACAAATTACGAAATTGAGCCACCCCCTACTACACAACCCATACCTCCAAACAACTGGCCACAATCAGAACAACCCACAAAAGCCACACAACACATACAGACATACCCTGCGCCCCTACCCTCTCTGCGAGCGGACCCCACCACTCTGACAATGGGAAAATCTATAAACTATTGAATTGCAAATTGCGTCTAAAGTCAAAAGAAAAGAACATTTTTGCAATGTAAATTAACAGCGAAAAGAGCAGCCAGTAGAAAAAGAAACACGAGAGAGAGAGAGAGAGAAATATCGAAACAGGCAAAGAGAGAAAGGCGTGGGCAGAGGAAGAGGCAGCAGCAGCCCGAGCACAAGGAGAAGAGAAGCTGTGCCTGGACAGCCTGGACCACAGTGGTGGGAGGACGAGAACCGCAATCATTTGCTCTGCCTCTCGCGCTTCTCCCCTCCCACACACACACACACACGAGTGGCGAGAGAATTGTGCTATGAAATAATCCACAACGACAAATATGCGCGCTGTTTTATGTGTCCCCCCCCCCCCATTGCTACACCAATCCACCCATGCAGCCCCAACCTATTGTGTGTGTGTGTGTGTTGGGCAGTTGGTTAGCCAAAGCCAAAAGCCAAGCCTCTCTCCGCACAAAAGCCGTTTTGCTCTGTGCAAGTATTTTGTATTTTTGGAGCCAGTCGCCAGTCGCCAGTTTGCAGCAACAACTACTACTACATACTCGCAAAGCTACAACTACTGGCAAGCCACACACATAAACCGGTTCAACCAAATTCCAGACAGCCGCCGCCAAAGTCAGCAGCAGAGCAGCCGCAGCAGCAGCCTCTGCCTCTGCCTCTGCTTTTGCCTCTGTCGCCATCGAAGACAGACTCCAAGAAATGGTCAGAGCAGCGGAGAGGCAGAGCAGCAACGGTGGAGCAGCAGCCGGCACTAAATGTCAAGCAAGTCGCTGAAGAGAGGTAGGGGAGGGAGCGAGTAAGCAAAAGCTGTGCTGTGCAAAAAAATAAACAAAGAACGAAGATTCGGTTCGGGTACCGAAACATTACATACCCTTCGCTGATCGATCATTCTAATGGGCTCTATAGATCGGCTTTAACTATGCAAAGGTATTGAAATAGAATAAACAGCAAAGAACTTTAACTGCGATTAGCTTAGCGCAAAGAGAGAGAGAGAGAGAGAGCAAAACACTCAGCATCTTCAGCAGAAGAAG